TGTGTGTGAGAAGTTTCATAACGATTAAAAGTGATGAGAAAAAAAAAATCTGTCTATCACTCTCTTGTGGCACCTCCTGGGCCTCAGCATGTCCTCGTTCTCCTGAGGCCAAGGTGTTCAACTGCATTCTGTGTGTGTGTGTGTGTGTGTGTGTGTGTGTGATACAATATTCAGAAATGTATTCTCTTCTGAAAAGGTCTTCATTCACACTCACTTGAAATGTACACCAACCATCAAACGTTCCCTTTTTTAAACTTATTTTTATCCCATTTTCCCCAATTTATTTGTTCATAATAATCATCAATCATCAATTTATCAATAATTATTTCTCCCATATCACATGCTAGCTAACTTGTGCTTCCCCGAGACTCATCTTTACAGACTACAGTGTCACAGTGCAGCTCAACACGCTTGGAGGAGATCACCTCTTCCATATCCGTGAGCTAACAGACGCACACAATCCGCTAGTGTTGCTAGTAGAGCTATAGATCACAAAATGGTGGCTCGGATATCGGAGTGAAAAAGAGAGAATCTGATCTGATTCTGAACAAATCCAGCCTGAAATATCAGAGAAATGATCGTAGCACAACAACATAAAGCAGGTTAAAGTAGGTCACGTGTTAATAAAAGTAGCTACATGATGTTAACAACAACCAATGAGCTGTGTGGAAATACTTCACAATAAAAGACCTTGTTATTTTTTTAAAAAAGACATTGATTATATTTGTTGCTAGGATTTTTTTTTTAATATTTATACTTTATTACAAGGGTGAGTCAAATGAAATCTGTATTTTTTTTTTGTTGTTCATTGTTTGAAAATAGGTGTCACATAAGTGTGTCATATTTCTACATAATCTCCATTTCATTCAAACATGAAAAGATTCCTCTAGAAAAAATAATCTATTCAATTCTAATTAATGTTGCATGTTTTGATTTCCATTTGACTCACTCTCGTATATATTTATTTTGTAAATATATCATAAATATATTGTATCTATTCGTGGATATATATATTTGCAATGCAAGTGATTTTTATGGAATCCCTGTAGGGACCTCTGCCAAAAAAAAAAAAACAATTAAAAATAAATAAATAAATAAAACAATTCACTGAAAAAGCAAAATTATGTATTTTGCACATGAAAATTTGTCATTTTCATGATTTTTTTTTTTTTTTTTTTTTTTTTTTTTTTTTTTTTTTTTTTTTTTTTGCAGATGTTTATGTGAAAAAGTTTAACTGTATTTAAAAAATAAGAATAAAAGCTGCATTTGTAGCAATTGTATAGCAAAAGTATTTTTTTCCTGTATTTTTTAAGTGAAATGCTTTAATAATAATAAAATGCTTTTTAATAATTTTAAAGCTTAATAGTTTTTAAAGAAAAAAATATCAGAGGGGAACTGGGATCGGATGACAGGATGAGAGGATGAGAGGATGATGAGGTTTCTGTATCGGTATCAGAAAAGAGAAAAGTGGCATGGTGCCATCTCTAGTTCCTCGGAATGCCATTATTCCCACTCATCATTCCTAACCAACAGCATTACACCATCAGAAACTCTGAACAAGTTGAATTCAGACTCATCCTCATTTCTATTCAGTCCAATATCACAAGTGTAGCTACACTATATAGCCAAAAGTATGTGGACACCTAACCATTACACACACATGTGCTTTTTTGAACATCCCATTCCAGATTTATTCCCCTATTTGCTGTTATAATAAGCTCCACTCTTCTGGGAAGCTTTCCACTAGATGTTGGAGCGTGGCTGTGGGGATTTGTGTTCATTCAGCTACAAGAGCATTAGTGAGGTCAGGCGCTGATGTTGGGATGTCGAGGAGGTCTGGGGTGCAGTCGGTGTTCCAGTTCATCCCAAAGGTGTTCAGTGGGGTTGAGGTCAGGGCT